CACAGTGTGGGCCTGCCCCATGCCAACCACCCCTCCCGCAGCAGGGCCAAACCCCCACAGGCGCCTGCCCTGGGGCCAAAACCCCTGTCCACAGCGCAGTCCAGCCCAGCCCATCCCCTTTCTTCTCTCAGCGTGGCCAACCCTCGCAGGCACCTGTCCCAGGGCCAAACCCTCCTCCCATAGCACAGCACCCCCCTCCTGCAGCATGGCCAACCCCTGAAGGTGCCTGCCCCCGGGGTCCAGCCCCCCTCCCACAGCACAGCCAACCCCTGCAGGGCCAAACCCCCCTCCCATGGCGCAGCCTGGCCTGGCCCAGCCAACTCCCTCCCCTCCCGCCATGCGGCCAAACCCCAGGGCCGACCCCCACTCCAGAGGTGCAGGGAAACCTCAGCACTCCTCTTTCAGGGCCAACGCCCCCTCCCTCAGCCCGCAACAGAGCTGTGGGAGGGGAGCAGCCTGCGCACTTCCAGAACCCCTGGAAGGGACGTGGACTTCAGACAGGACTTCCGTCCACCCCGAGGGAAGCCAACACTACACTAAAGGTAGGTAGTGGGGCTTCTCTGGGGTGGGGGGGAAAATGGGGGGTGGGGTTGCCCAAACACCTCGCGATCAACCAGTCGATCGCGATCGATGGGTTGGTGACCACGGCCCTAAGGCATGACACAGTCTCCACTGGGAAGTGTTTTTATTTTAAAAGGATATCACTTTTTTCCTTTCCCCATCTCAAAGCTAAGGCAACTCATAGTTAGAGAAATGCTCTTTTATTCCTTTTCACCACTCATTAAAGATGACACAAGAAATAAAGAAAGGTGGTTTATACATTTCCCCTCCCCCCACAATATTTTGGCTGAGAAGGGCTAACAATAGGTGCAGTAGCAAAGTTCTTTCACTAATCAACACTGCAATAAAAAGCTCTCTAAGCTAAGTTTGACAGATTTGAGCCAAAAGGCTTTAAGTGAAATTGGAACTTCAAAACACTGGTTTCTAAATGGTAGGTCCCACACTTAGTTGGATAGAGGAACCATCAAGATGACTCCCTATGTCCCAGCCCTCAACCCCAACCAGCCCTTCTCTTCCCCAGCCGGAATCATTACCAGATTGCTGTTTGTCCACTCACCAGCTGTAGCCACTTCCCCAGATTGCAACTGCCTGGAGCCCATTCCCCATGCTGCTGGCCTGCAGTCCAGGGCAAACAACAGCAGGATCCAGACAGCAGCAGCAGAGGAAGTAGTCACTGAGCAGAAAGCAGCCTGGTACCAATCACAGCCCTTGCACAGATGCAGGAAGAGAAGGGCCAGCTGGGGCACGAGGACTAAGTACTGGATGGGGGCCTGCCTGGCAAGCCAAGCTGGAAATAGTAAAAAAAACTGGGAATTGCTGCTACAGAACATACAAGAAATAACACACAATCAATACATTGATAAGTTTGAGAGGTTTTGTACAAAATGCTGGCAGTAGAGTATTTATTACATTGAACCCATTCAATTTAATAGTCCAGAAAAGTGTCACTACCTTCAAAAACAATCCCGACTATCACCAGTGAGATTCAACCCAGTTAGCTCATCTGCTTGACCACAAATCGGCCCTCCTTTAAACATACTGAGTGTCTCCTATACCTTACACAGCTTTTTTGCTAAATGCTTCAAATGAAATTAAAATGTGTTGTTTAAGATAATTTGTTAATGCAAAAATCTTCATACAGGTAACAGATGAATAACAGTTTGATAGGAGAGTGAATATAGACATTCAAACCCCAAACCCTCTCGCAAAATATTGATTTTATTTTTGTATTATATGATTTTATGACCCACTACTTAGCTGAATGTATTCAATGCTTGCATTTTGTTTTTGGAATGAATATTATTTCAGAAGGTCAGGTTAAAAAGGAAGATTCATTAATGTTCATATAGGCGACTTAGTTATACAAAATTGTGAACAGATAAGCCATTCAATATTCTTTTCCTACTTGTAAATAGCTGTATGAGAATAATAGCTGTATGAGAATAATATGGACAACAACAGAAACACAAAAATGTCTTTGAACTATCTTTCTATTGAGGTCCACCTTTCTTATTTCAAAGGGTCATGAAACCTTATTTTTGTAACATTCCCCAGTAAATCAGATATATACCCTTCAACACCTGGGATTGCAACTACAAAGTAATGTTATTTCCTAGTCCACTTTCCTTAGGGCTTCAGAAGTTGAAGTCCCATTGATTAAAATTTGTGCTACATCAGTTCTCTGGCATTTCTGCACCAAAGCTAAGCAGCTCTGCATGCAAAGTACCAACCTATAAAGGTCTAATAAGAGAATCAATTCCATACTGTCTGCTAAGAGTTTATTTTTTTTTTTTACTTAATACATTGAGACACATTTATTGCCTTCCAATAACTTACTGGCTCTTTACGTTGTATTCTCTGATCTTGTCTATAAAGAGCTTCTGAACAGGATCAAGTTCTTTTGCCTTGTTAAATACTATAGCAGAAAAGCCAATGTTCCTTCGCAAGTGCATTGAGATGGCAGAGCGGAAAACAGAGGAAAACCTGAATAGCTGTTGGAGAATCATGATGAACTTTCAGAGGGTTTCAGCTAGAAACAAAGGAGAATACATTAATTTAGGAGTTATTTGTAGAAAGAAAAAAAATGTAGATCAGTTAAAAATGTCAATGGTACGAACCATAGCAAAAATACCAAGAAAAAGATTACCTCATTTTAACAATGAAGAACAATTTTGCAATACTCATGAAATAATTTTGATTGAATCATAGGTAACATGAGGATATAGTCTTATTTTTCCCACATTAAAATTAAATGCCTGAACACACGTTTCACAAAATAAAATGCTAAAAATTAACTGGACACTTATAATTGTAGCACTTAGCAAATATATTGCCACATTCATGGCACAGGGCTAATTCACAGACTAAAAGAAAGCTGTTGTAATAAATAGGTAGTATTGAGAATACAAAGTGTAAAACACAACGTGAACCAAAAATAAGCCAGCAAATCAATATCTGTTTTAATAAAAGTAAGGTGCTATTCTAGAGTTAAAAGAGGGGAGAGGGGAGATTCTTTAAACTAACACTATTCCTTTCAAGAACATCTGACAGCACTGAGTTAACTTTACAAGCCAGGGTTGGTGTTTCTTTTTAAAAGAGATACACAATTAGTATAATAAAAGGGGAACGATTTTCAATCTCAATTACCAAAGCAGTTTCTCCTCTCTTAATGTTCACACCTCCAGATCAGCTGCTAGCAGTGGGCCTCATCCTCCCTGATTGAACTTACCTCATTAGCAGTGGGCCTCATCCTCCCTGATTGAGCTTACCTCATCTCTAGAATCAGAGGGGTAGCCGTGTTAGTCTGAATCTGCAAAAGTGACGAGGAGTCCTGTGGCATGCATCTGACGAAGTGGGTCTTTGCCCACGAAAGCTTATGCTCCTACACTTCAGTTAGTCTATAAGGTGCCACAGGACTCCTCGTCACTCATCTCTAGACTGATTCTTGCCTGCATATTTATACCTGCCTCTGAAAATTTCCACTACATGCATGTGATGAAGTGGGTCTTTGCCCAGGAAAGCTTATGCTCCCATTCATGTTAGTCTATAAGGTGCTACAGAACTCTTTGTCCATTTTCAATTGGTCTCAATAACCTCGAAAGGGAACGCAGTGAAAGGCAGGTTGCAGGCAAAGCATCACAGATGCGGTTTTTTACTTGGCACAACAGGTAACTGGGCCCAACACCCCACCCCTGCCTGCCTGGGTCTTTGCCCAGGAAAGCTTATGCTCCCATTCATGTTAGTCTATAAGGTGCTACAGAACTCTTTGTCCATTTTCAATTGGTCTCAATAACCTCGAAAGGGAACGCAGTGAAAGGCAGGTTGCAGGCAAAGCATCACAGATGCGGTTTTTTACTTGGCACAACAGGTAACTGGGCCCAACACCCCACCCCTGCCTGCCCGGACCC